AATTCGTTTTTTGGATGCAAATAAATTAATTTATTTTCGTATCTGCATAGTAGTTTTGTGTATTTATTTGCCATTTTTATTGCAGATTTATTACGTGCATAACCCCATTATGGATACAACAAGCAGTATTTTAAACACAGCGAATCCCCGCCCCGAATTCGGGGGCCAATGTTCATAGCGGGGCGCCCCGTTGCCAACCCTAGCGTACGCAAAGTGTCGGTAGGCTGAGTCGGTGGTCGGTCGGATTTCTGTTTGAGATATCCAAATGTTGTCAACTACCAAATTCTTACCAAGAAGTGAGAACTCAATCAAAAATAGAACTAAATAATAAAATAAAACATACATATAGCCACAACCGTCTTTAATTTTGGATGATGCTCAACGAATTCTTTCAGTTCATGATCCACGAAGAATGTCATCGAACAATCCAGAAACTCCAAGTTTTGCATTCGGACTTCAGCCGCCAATAGGCTTCCAATCACATTAATGTTTATTTCGGGATCACTGAAAATAGTAAATTTTTTTGTCTTGGGCCTTCGTCCTGGTAATCCCGGAGGGATTTGAAGAATGAGCACTCCGACTCAGGATCCAAGGGTACATCTAGTTCTTAGGTGGTTCAGAGAGTACATCGGATCATGAGGTGTAGGGTGTGTCAGCTTTTGAGCAGAAGGCAAAATAGTGTGTATAAAAATACTTTGTCAATTTTCCCCTTCTACCACTTCAAAATTGGCTCGAAAAGTGATAAATTAGTACTGAAATCACTTTGAACGGTCGTAACTTTTTTGGAAGGGGGAGAGACAAAAATAAAGACAGGACTGAAATCAGCATGTTCGAAAGTATCAGTGACCAGAATTTCAGAAAATTCTCAAAGCTGTTCTGAAAACACCTCCCTTGTCAGAGCTCGATATACCCTTGGATACTGGGCCGACGGCAACCACCCAAATGTTCATATGGAGAGCATGGAAAGTAGCACATTTTTTTGACGCCCACCCCCTCTCTAATTCTTAAAACTAATAAACTCACTCGTCACAACCCGAAACATCCAAATATCTCAAATTCTTCAATTCGGCCAACTCTTTGTATCCATGAATTTCTTCGAGTTCTGCATTACGCATCACCAGTTTTTGTAGGTGTTTCAAATTTTTGATTCCTTCCAGAGTTGATAGATCACTCACGAAAGAAATATCCAAGGTTCGAAGATTGGGAAACGAATTACAGAGATTTGAGAGATTTGAGAATATACTGAAGATGATTTTAATGCTTTGAAGAGATGGAAAAAGTTTGGAGATCTGCAAAAAATTAATACCATCGAGGTTTCTGGTTTGCTGATTTGAATATGATCTATATCTTTTTGTAAATACACACTTTGAATTTAATATAGTTCTGAGGTTTCGAAAAAAAAGAGTAACATATTTTGAAATAAATATCGAATTGCTCACCTTTTCCTCCCAACCACTTTCAAACTCTTCATAACCGCCAGAAAATCCAAATTGGACCATCATTTCTCGTGAATCAGTATCCACTGCTCTCTCCAATAAACTCACAATGTCGATTTGGTGAGGATCTGAACAAAGAAATTTGCGAGTAGCTTTCAGAAACTTTTCTCACTCGTTGGGTGCGGAAATTCCGCTTTCAAATGGTACAAGTCACCGAATTCCAGTGAATTCAATTTGAAGTCTTTCAAATTCAAAATTCCTTCTACATCAATTTTGCACTGACTTAAATCCAATTCTTTCAACCTTGATAGCTGTTTTTTATGGGTTTTTAATTTTTCAATGTTTTTCGGATCCAATTTTAAAAGCTGTCTCACTACTTCATTGCTGGCTGTTGAACCCAAATTGAAGTCAAGTGGAATTTCCTCTGCAATTGAATGAGGGTGATTAATTAATTATGAGTAATTACCATTATGAATTTGTTTAGCAACTGATTTGGCGGCGAGTTGGAATAAGGTTGGAAACAACATTCTTCAAAGGAATTGTTCTGAAAAATCAAAAAATCTACATCAAACTTTCAGAGATTCAAAATTAAAAAAATTTTAGTAATGGATTAGCAACACAAAAAATATAACAATTTGTGATAAAATCAATACACAAAAGACATTCGAAAAAAAAATGGAGCAGAACAAAAGAGGATAACGAGAAGAAGACGAATGTTCTGAAGACGACGAGGTAGAAGACGTAATCAGATGGGAAGGATAGAGTCTATTGACTTTTCAATCAATAGAGTTGATTGATTTTTCCCAGGAGAACACAAATGCAGACTGTCCCGATTACAGTAGTCGTGATGGTTCAAAAGGTGCGGAACAGAATTCCGATTTGAGCAGTTTTTAGAAATGGAGAAACATTACGGTGATTGTTTAAAACTTCTATGGATTGTTGCTTCAAGGGTCTCCAGAATGGAAAATTTATGAATTTCTATTATTGTGTTTTGTTTTCGCTGGGTTTACAATGTTAAAAGGTTCTTTCAAAAGGCACTTTGATTTCAGACTCATGTTAATAGTCGATTTAAGACTTGAATTAAAGGAGACCCGTATATTTTTGACAAGTTTCAATATCAATAAAGAACAGTTCCAAAATGTATTTTTTAATGAAAGTGGTATTCAGAAAAAAAGTTTCTAAGTTTTCGAAGTTTAGAAATTTCTAATTCTTAAATCTAAATTTTTGAATTCCCGAAGTTCCAAAAACTTTTTGACGAGACTGTGTTCTTTTTGAAAATTTGAACTTCTGAATTTCGAATTTTTACATGTTGTCAAATGCTTGAATTTCTGAACTCAGAGAGCCGTGGCCTGGAAACAAAAGACACCGAAACTCGAAAAACACACTAATTTGATATTTTCATTGCATAATTATGAGCATTATGAGCGGGAGATGTCCAGTCGTTTTGAAATTTCTCTATTTCTAGGTCTCTGAATTTATATTTTTCCGAATTTCGAACTCCCGGTTTTTGAGGCAGATGTTCCCAAATTTCTGATTAACAGAAATAAGAATTGAAAATCTAGATTGGGGTACTTCCGAGTTCGAACTTTCTCAATTTCTAAACTATCGAAATGCCATACATCGAACAGAGCCGTCTCAGGTCGGCCCGGCATTTAGTAAGTATGAGAAATTCTGATTTTTTAAATTCCTGAAAATCGGAAACACTAAATACAAAAATTTCATACACTCAGATTTTTGGAAAGTTGAAACACTTTCTAGATTTCAAAGTTAAAACTTTCGTACTTCCGATTTTCAAAATTTACTAATCTCTGATTTTCCGAATGTCTTACTTTTCCAATTTCCGGACTAATTCCGAAATGCTTAACTTCGAAATTACCGAAATTCTGAATTTCCTATCTCGAATTTCGGAAACACTGAAATTAAAAATTTTTTGATATAATTACGGACAATGTAATTGAGAGCCAGGATATGCAGTCCCGGAGGGACGCAATCGTTTTTCAAAACTGAAAATTTTCGAAATTCGGAACAGGTAACCAGGAACTTCAGTGATCCTGAATTATAGATATCCAAAAATTTGAAATTTCAAAAAACCGGGAATTCACATACTCCATATTATAAGACCTTCAAAAATTCCGTCTTCAGTAGTTTGGAAATTTTGAAAATTTGGAAAACCAAATATTAAAAAATTTTGATTACTTCGAAAATTCGGAAATTTGAAATATGGAAAATTCAATTGTAAGATACAGTAAGCGGAAGCCAGGAGGTTGAACCCCGACAGGGGGCGTAAACCGACTGGTTGATTTTAAAATCAATATAATTGCTTTTTCCCAGAAGAATACAAGTCCAGGTGGCCCGCGATTCTATCTTTATGTAGAAGAAGTTTTATCTTTATTAGTAGTCGTAAGATCTTTCAAGAGGGTGCGAAAAGAGATTCCACAAATTCAAAGCAATTCCGATGTTGAAAAGATTATTGAATTGATATGATTGTGTTGTATTGTTGTGTCTTGTTAACGTTAAACCAATATTAAAAGCGCCGGTCTTCATATTGCAAAAAAGGTCCCTTCAAACGGCTCTTACTTGCAACAAAAACTAACAGTAAGACTAATAGTAAATGGGGCTTTTTTCTTTTCAAACCCGGGGAAATTTTTAAAATACCTTTTAAAATAACTTTAAAAAAACTTCTGTGAAATAAAAGTTTGTCAAGAACGAAGTGCCGGTAACACTTTTTTGAAAAAATTGCCGAAATTTCGAAAAAAAATTCAAATGTCGAACCGGACCCTGATTTTTCGGCTCTCGGACATTTCGCAACCGGACATTTCGCAGCCGCGACATTTCGTAGCCATACATTTCGCAGCCATACATTTCGCAGCCAAACATTTCGCAGCTCTGATAACGCCAGAAAATCAGAATTCCAAGTTCTTCGATTTTGAAAAAAGTATATTTTAATGTCAGAAATTGAATTTTCGAAGAATTCGGCTGAAAAAAATCAAATTTCAGCTGAAAAAATAGCAAGCAAATATTTAATAAATGGAAAACTGCTAAATCTTCACTGTTATGATATTTTTTAGAATTTCTTTTTTTTTCTTCTAGAATTCCAACTTTCTAAAATCTTATATTTTAAAAAGAAATTCTGAATAACAATGAAGATTTAGCATTTTTCAATTGATTGAATACTTGCTTGCTATTTTACAGCTGAAATTTGATTTTTTCAGCCGAATTCT